ATGATCAGTCAAAGAGGTAGTGCCATTTAAGAATGTCACAAGATGCAGCCAAAGGGGGCCAAATCTAGCGATGATTTCTTGAAAGGGAGTTGATTTTGTTTTCTTTTTATGGAATTGCCATTTGCTCTCAAAAAGTGAAGAAGCAGGATATTGTCCCATGCATAATTTTAGATGCTGATATCTAATAAGATAATGAGATCAAAGTGTCCTTCTTCAAAGGCATAAAAAGGCTAGCAGGTCATTTTCACATACATTCCGTGCAATGAGCAAAAACAGAGAGGCTTACCATGATGAGTCTTCCTAAGACAGAATGTTCCTTCTTAGTATAGCATGGACAGTTTGTACACTGTGTCCCTAACCTATAACACTAGCGAAGATCATCTCATATGCAGCCTCGAATATTATTTATTATGGCATATGCAGTCCAAAGAATTCTGAATATATGAGCTGTGTCCAGAAAGTAATGATATTGATATTTGAAAAATTATTTTATTGAAAAATGTTACAGTTGAACATCGTCTCCTTCAAAGTATGCACCTTGTGAATGTACACAATGCTTCCATATTTCATAGCATCCCTGGGAGTCTTCAAGTAGGATGGAGTTCAGAGACTGCATAGTGGCTCTTTGGATGTTATCCACACGTCCAAAAAATAAAAAAAGTTGCAAAGAGCCACGTCGGGGTTGTATGGTGGATGGGGGAGCACAATGGTATGTTTTTCAGTAAAACACTCTCTGACAGCCAAAGCACTGTGACTCTCATGATAAGGGATCCAAGTCAAGCCAATCTTAGAATGCAAACTGGCCAACAGGTCTTTAGTGTTCCTTCTGATCAGGTGACATGTTCTTTGGACAAGTTTTGTACACACTATTCTCATGTTCAAATCCTGAGCCATGATTACATGAACAATTGACTTTTCGTTTCCTCTGCAATTATTCTGATAGTGAGCTGTTCGTCGTGGTTGAGAACAGACCTTACTGCATCCTGCGTTGTAAGTCTTTAACATCTTCTAGTCCTTCCTAGAAGGCCTTGTGCCATTGGTACACTTGTGCAGATGATAGCGCAGCTTCTCCATAAGCTTTCCTCACCATTTTCTGATGCACTTTTATCCAATTTCACACAAAATTTTATCGTGTGCCACTGTTTCAAACTCGCTTGCATTTTTCTTAATATGAGGCACTTAAACAGGGTGTCACAAAAAAGAATAACTCTGACGGATGGAATGCAACTAATCAGTGTTCTAACTTATAGTTGGCACGAGGGATGGACTGACCATTCAGGCACTGCCCGAGGGTCCGAGGCCAGTAGGGGGCCCCATGGCAGGTTCCACTGCAATCTACCCATCAATCACAGGTAGCTGATGGGTAGATCGGGTCCCTGCTCACTGCTAAGTGGCTGTAATTAGACCTCCCATGGCGCACTCCTCCCTGCCAGCTTGATTGGGTACTCATGACCTCCGAAGCAGTGGTGCAGGGGGAAAATGCCTCATTGCAAACATCAATAAGCCACTGTAACCCAGGATCAGTGAGCATAAAGTCTTTACAATATTCCAGAGAACTAGGTTCAAAGAGGAAGAGGCAGAGCACACAAGCACAGTAACCTCCCTCAGAACAGGACAGTACATGCATAAAATGTATTTCAGGCTATCCAATAGTGCCAATAGCACCACACAAGGTACCCTCCAGTAGAACAAGCAGCTGTTAACCCTGGCCATCCTTGTATGCCTAACAACATTAGCAGAAGGGTCTTTACACACCCTAAAAGGGAACTTAAATGGGCATCCTCTAGGCTTCCATCACTTTCTCACCACATCAGTAGCAGGAATAAGGGGAATTTAACCCCTTTCTAGCTTCACCCTCCATGGAAAGGATACCACTGCAAGTGTCTTCAGAGACTGGCCTCTGCACCAAGCAGACCACAGCCTTGGACCTGTAATGTACCCTGTGTTTAACTCCACAAGTTGTACTACGTGCCAAGGAAAGCGCTTACACCAGGATCTAGTGCAAAGCAATATTACAGTCCATTTCCACACTGTCCACCAGGCAGTCCCTTAAGGCTCTGCTGAGGAGTCAACTGATCTGGAAGCTACATAAAAATCCCTAGTAACTATGGTGCTGTCCAGAGGTGATGGAATTATCTTGGAAGTAAAATTTTTATATGAAACTATCCAGAGAGAGAAAAAAACCTCCATAGAAGGTAAGATTCTACCAGTACAGAGAAGAGGTACATCACCTAAGAACACCAGCAAAAAACTGAGTCTAGCTGGGAGTGGGTGGGGTTATTTTCAGGGATGTCCCTGCAGCTTTCTTTTTTGCCAGTGTCCACTCACCTGAAGGTAGCTGCATATAACCCATCTGTAATGATTTAAAGAAGCTGCTGTCCTGATCAGGAAATACACACTTCCATCTAGAAATAATTGTTCACAAATGGCAAAATTATTTTCATGATCATGGGCTTCCGACTTTTGTCTAAAAGTGGCAATAAAATCTCACATTTATACATTTCATAATGAAGTTATGTCTGCACGTTTCTGAGTTTCCTTCTTCTCGTATTAACCTCCTACTAATCTCCCAAATCCTTATTTTTATCTGCTTTGTAATCGGTTCCTAGTAGAGGGTGGCTATGTGCATGTCTAGGGAGAAACTGCATCCACCCTGTTGGGAGAAGGGGACGGGGCCAATAGTAAAAAGTGCAAAAATGTGTATGGCATGCAATTAAATTGTAGCACTACCCCCTTAGGGATTGCTGATGAATTTGGGTCCCCCAATAGTCCTGCACAGCCAGTCATTCAGTATTTTCCACACAAACTGCCATCCAAAGACAAAAATCAGGCCTTGAGCATTGATTTTGTTATTTTATTGAGGGGATTAAACTTGGATGGAGTAAGAGGTGTATAGAATGCCCAAGGGAAATGAAATCTGAGGACAACTATTCACAGCGTCTTCTCTCTGACACACAGTCTCTGTTGGAGTGCTAGCCACCAGCTCCAGTTGTACCACCACCGATGAACTCCTCTTCACCCAGCAACCTGAGGGTTTTCTTCCTGAGCAGGGGATCTGGCTTCTGTTTCCTTTAATAAGGTGCACTAGCAGAAGGCTAATTTGGTTTCCCACCTATCTGCCCAGGGGGTGTAGGTGTACTCACTCAGATCCTCTCCTGTACAGCTTGTGGAATGGCTGCTGCTACCAGGCCTATCAGCTGGGCTGCTCCCTCCTTGCCACCCAGGTGGTCCTCTCTCAGGGGACCAGTAAGTCCTGAGGTTTCCTCCTTTGCAGCTCCAGGCTCGCAGGCAGCCTTCCTCCTCCAGCGTCACATCTTCCTGCCTCTCACTCCACCACACTCCAACTCTTCCCACTCCTATTACTGAGCATACTCTAACACCTTTTAAAGGAGTCCAGCCCCCTGCAAAGCCTCCTGTTGGGGTTTGGCTGAGGTCCCTCAAAGGTGCAGCCTGACACTCTTCAGATCCTCCCACTGCCTCCAAGGCCCTCCTCCAAAAGCTTCAGAGCAGGGGAAAATTCCAGAGGGACTGGCCTATAGAGTCTCTCAGTCTTACCATGAATTTGACCCTCTGGCTATTACACCTGAGCTGCTATTCAGCTCCTGTCTAACCATTAGGGATCTAGTTCCAACCTAATGTAACTAGGAGAGTGCTACGAAATAGTACCAGTGAAAAGTTTAAAATAGGTGCACAAATATATGACAAAGGAAAAAATGTCCCTGAATTGGTGCTGTGACTGCAATGAGAAAATGTCCATGAGTCCATGATGTCATTGCAAAAAAAAAAAAACCACCAGAGTCAAACGTGTAACAGAAAAGTAAAAAATGTCTCTGTGTCGGTGGTGTCACTTAACAGAAACAAAACTTGTCCCTACATTGATGGTGTCACTGGAAGAAACACCACTACAAGCTCCTCCCCACCCCCAGTACAGTGTTCTTCCCTCAACTCCAACCCCCTTTCCCCACTACAAAGTTCACCCATCAGTGAAATACCTAGCACATTTGGCAGCTGAGGCCCGAATTTTTTTTTTACAAATTGCAGCCCCCCCCCCCCAAAAAAAAAAAAAAAAAAAAATGGTACGAGGAAATATAAGCAACAGTAGCTGCAGCGTCACTCAAAAAAGCTTTTCTATGGGGCGGGCAGGAGGAGCGGAATGATTCAGCACTGGTGTACTGTGAGGTGTCGGTGCCACTGTGACTTACCAGCCAAGCTGACTACTGTGTGTGAGACTTGATATACATAGGCACAACCCCCTAAGTTCACCTTTTCCCCCAGTACAGAGCTCCCCCCCAGTACAGAAATCCCCTCACCCCCTAGCCTCCAGTACACAGAGCTCCCTCCTCCTTCCACCCTTCGAGCATATAGAGCCCCCCACTATCCCCTAGCCCCTCTAGTACAGAAAGCTCCTCCAGTACATAGAACCACCTCCACCCCCTATCCCCCCCAGTACACAGAGCTCCACCCTCAGTACATAGAGCTCCCCCCATCATCTATCTTCCCCCCAGTACACAGAGCTCCCCCTTCCTCCTGGTATGTGTGGTGTGCATAGAGCAGTGCACATGACTGCAACTAACATGCACAGCTCATTTCAAACAAACAGAAGTGAGGGGAGAAAAGAAGAGGTGAGCTCACAGGACATTGCAAGGAGGCAGAAAGACTCAGTAAGAAATGCTTTTGCATGGATTATTGTTTATTGTTAATTAACCTGTTACCCCAAAGTGCCAAGGCATGCCTCACCCTGCAGAGGCACATATGCATACCCCTTGTATAAGTGTGGGGCGGGGCATGCCTTGGTCGCCTATGATTGGCTGTTGCTTTGTCAGTTTGGTGGTGGGATAGCTCAGTTGGGTTCAGACTAGTCTCCAAACATGCCGAAACCCATCCCTGATGACAACCAATCAGCTTCTTTCAACAGGTCCTAGCCAGTAATTCATGGGCGTGACTCGGTGATTGGTGGAGCAGCTGACAGGAGAGAGATCTATGAGTGTAAACAACACAGATCTTGCTCCTGTCAGAGGGGACAAAGCAGGGAGATAAAAGCCAGCATGTCCCCTAGTAAAACAGCACACAGTACACATTGTAATCACTCCCTAACACACAGTTAACCCTTTGATCGCCCCAGATGTTAACTCCTTCCTGCCTAGCGTCATTAGTACAGTGTCAGTGCTTTTTATTATCACTGATCATTATTATTTTATTAATATTTTACAGGATGTATATAGCGCCAACAGTTTGCTCAGCGCTTTACAATATAAAAGGAGACAATACGGCAACAATACAGTTCAATACAAAAGGGTAAGGAGGGCCCTGCTCCTGGGAGCTTACAATCTAATAGTGTACAAGAGGTAATAACTGTGGGAGATGGACTGATGGGAGAAATAGAAGATTTGGTTACTAGCTGAAGGCACTATTAGTGTCACTAGAGATGTCAGTGGCAGTTCCCATCCAGTGTCAGATAGTGTCAGAAACCACTAAACAGCTCATCCACTCCCTCATCATATCACAACTCGATTACTGCAACTCCCTCCTCACTGGCCTGCCTCACCACAGGCTATCCCTGCTTCAGTCGATCCTGAATATGGCAGCCAGACTCATTCACCTTACCAACCGCTCCGTTTCCGCCACCCCCCTCTGCCAATCCCTCCACTGGCTTCCGATTGCCCAATGGATCAAATTCAAAATCCTAACACTGACATACAAAGCTGTCCATCATACTGCCCCAAACTACATCACCGACCTAATATCCAAATACCACCCAAAACATACTCTCCACTCTTCACAAGACCTCCTTCTCTCTACTTCCCTGGTCTCCTCCTCCCATGCCCGCCTCCAGGACTTCTCCAGGGCGTCACTCATCCTCTGGAACTCCCTACCCCAATCCATCAGACTATCACCTACTCTCCTCTCCTTTAGGCGCACCCTGAAAACCCACCTCTTCAGGGAAGCCTACCCCACCCCCTGCTAATTGCTGACCTCCTCCACTCTTCCTACCACCTGTCGCATGTATTGTCTCCCATTGTAATGTACAGCGCTGAGCGAACTGTTGGCGCTATATAAATACTGTATAATAATAATAATGCCTGCCGTACTATCGCAGTCCCACTATAAGTCGCTGATCGCCGCCATTACTAGTATAAAAAAATAAATAAAAATTCCAGTATTATATATATATTGTCGCCATTTGTAGATGCTATAACTTTCATGCAATACCAGCCAATATACAATTATTGGGATTTTTTACCAAAGATATGTAGCAGAAAACATTTTGGTCTAAATTTATGAATAAATTTTATTTTTTTATTGGATGTTTTACAACAAAAAGTAAATTTTTTTCAGTCTTTTTTCATTTATAGTGCAAAAAATAAAAAAATAAAAAAAACAAGTGATGATCAAACACCAACAGAAATCTTTATTTGTGTGAAAAAAAAATTATGCAAATTTAATTTGTGTACAGTGTTGCATGACTGCGCAGTAGTCAGTTAACCATTTCCCTGCCGCCCTATAGCAGATATACTGCTACAGGGCGGCAGGGGTGCGCAAAATCACATATACATATGTTATCTTGCATTTCCAGTGTGGGAACTCGCTTCAAGTGGTAGAGCTTCTTCTTCAACACACACGGCAACTCGCTTTCTTTTCAGGGCTTTTTTGCCCACTTTTATTTAAGAAAGTTCAAACAACAAAAATGCTTCCCACGCAGGGGTATCCACCATCAAGCAAAACAATATTCAGCCTCCTGGCTTGTACGCAGTTTTAAGTCTGCCTCCTGCAGACTCTTCCCAAAAGGTTCTTTTGGCACCCAGCGAACCTTTAGCACACAGCTATTCTGTAGCAGCCCCTTGCTGCTTTTGGCTGCCACCTCTCCTAGGTGTAGCCCACCTGACTCCACGGCAGGGACTTCCTGTCTGCCGGTGGAGTCCGCCTGACTCCTAACTGCTGGGGTGGAGCTCTGCTGACTCCTAGCTGCCGGGGTGGAGCCCAGAACCCTGGTCCTGACTCTCTCTAAAGGCCTGCACACACCTGTGCAATCATTCTCCTGGCCTATCCCAAAACCTGGACCCAGGATTGGAGATTTCATCCCTCCCAGATCTCTTTGAAATCTCCAGGCTCCAGATCCCAAAACAGACCTTACAAACAAGGGAGGAAAATGAAAAGCCACTTTCCTCCATATCAAACCTTTACCCTGGAGCCCCTCAACCTGCCTTGTTGAGAATCCAGGGTGACAGATCGCCACACTGTCACACCAGGTAGGGGTGCGAGCCACGCGCACGCCCTACCCGCGCTGCCTTTCGCGGCTGTCAATCACCGGGTCCCAGCCAGTAATTGCCTGCCAGCTGCCAGTGATTACCGAGCATCTACAATGGGGAGGAAGACTGTTTTGTTTACAGTCTTCCTCCCTGTTGGCTCGGGCACACTGCTCTGGATGGCTGTGCACAGCACAGCCATCCAGAGCAGTGTGCTTACAGTGAAGCACACCTCTGCCTCCTAGTAAAACACTCCCTACACATAGTTAACCCTTTGATCACCCCTCATATTAACCCCTTCCTGCCCAGTGCCATTAGTACAGTGTCAGTGCTTTTTTTTAGCACTGATCACTGTATTGGTGTCACTGGGGATGTCAGTAACACCAATTCTGTGTCAGTGTCAGAATGTCCGCCACAGTCCTGCTAAAAGTCGCTGATCGCCATTACTAGTAGAAAAAAAACCCAGTAGCTATACCGCATTTTATAAAAGCAATACCTTTCACATAAATCAATTCATTTACACATATTAGGATTTTTTATTAGCAAAGACATGCAGCAGAATACATTTTGGCCTGAATTTATGACATTTGATTTTTAAATTTTTTTTCATAGCAAAAAGTCTGAAATATTGTTTTTTTCTCAAAATTGTCGATCTTTTTTTTTTTTTTATAGTGCAAAAAAATAAAAAAGCATAGTCGATCAAATACTACTGAAAGAAAGCTCAATTAGTGGGAAAAAAGGACGTAAATTTAATTTGAGTGCAGCATTGCATGACCGCGTAATTGTCAAAGTAACGCAGTGCCGTATCGCAAAAAATGGCCTGGTCAGGAAGGGGGGTGGTAAATCCTCTGGAGGGCAAGTGCTTAACCACTTGCCGTCCGCCTGCTGTTTATAAACGTTAGGGCGGTGGCAGTCCAGGGGTGGGTTGCCATTCATAAACGGCACCCGCCTTTTCTAGCTGTGCGCGCTCCCTGGGAGCACGCAGCACCGCGATCCGGTGCCCGCTGTGTCCTACGGACACAGTGAAACACCGATTGTCAGACAGGACCTCTGTACTAGGTCCCGATCACATGCAAAGTAGTAAGCAAGATGTCACTTGTGACATCATTGCTTACTACGTGTGAAATCTGTGAATGATCACAGAGGTCACATGGTACAAGGCTATTCACACACAGCCTTGTACCATGTGACAAGCTGTGACCAATCACAGCTCACTCAGTACTTCTCAATGACTGCAAGAATGCAGACAGAGAGAAAGAGAAATGATTGCTTTTACATCCTATATGGGTGTAAAAGCAATCAGTGTAAAAAAAAAAAAAAAAAATCTTCATCACCCCCCACAAGTAGTACAGTGTCACCATGGTGACACTGTACTGCTAGGGTGACAGTATGTAAAAAAAAAAAATAATAATAATAATATAAAATAATGTAAAAAAAAATCTTTAAAAATTATAATTTTTGGTTATAAACTAATTTGGATTTTTTTTTTTTTACTAAAAAAATAACGTAATACATTTTGGCCAAGATTTATGATGAAATATTATTTATTTGCAAAATTTTATTAAAAAAAACACTTTTTTTCAAAATGTTTGGACTTTTTCATTTACATAGTAAAAAAAATAAAAATCTCAGCGGTGAAAAAATACCACCAAAATAAAGCTTTATCTGTCTCAAAAAAATGGTAAAAAATTCATATGGGTACAGTATTGCATGACCGCGCAATTGTCAAAGTGTGATAGCGCTGAAAGCTGAAAATTGCCCTGGACAGGAAGGGGGTAAAAGTGTCCGGACAGGAAGTGGTTAAAGTAACGCAGTGCCTTATAGCAAAGTATGGCCTGGTCATGGAGGAGGGGGAAATCTTCCGGAGGGCCAAGTGGACAGATAGCAGTAAGGTGCCGGTAACCAGTAACATTACACCAGTAAGCGGTGACGTCATGTACTCCGTGAATGAAATGATAAGTTCAGGGAAGTGAGCTCGGCTCCGTACTAGAAGGACACTTGTCACCTCTCTGGATATAGATATCCTCCTCGACAGCTGCCTCTCCGCTCTGACACATACCGATCACATGACTCATCCCCGCACAGCCATTACATCATTAGAGGCGGTGCTAACACTGTCACTCCACCCAATGGGCGGAAGCTTATCGCAGCAGTAAACAAAGGGGAATCACCGGAGCGTGGGGCGGGGGAGCGGCCGTTGTGCGCGGTGACGTAGCCAATCCAAATGTAAACAACTCCAGGGAGAGGTGGAGGCATCTCGAGCTTTCTGGAGAGAGGTGACGTCACGGGGGAGGCGTGGTAGCCGGGTCTGTTGAAGTGTTACAATGTATCCAGATCCCTGATTGTTACTTCCTATAGAGAGAGACATTGTAAGTGAGGGATCTCCGGCCTCGGAGGTGAGAGAGCGGAGAGCGTTCATGGAGGGGCCCGTGTTCACCAGATCTCTATCAGTGTGGGCAAGCTGTCTATTCAGGGTGATGACCTCATAGAGGAATGATCCAATCAATGTCCTATATACAATGTAGGAGGCTAGGTTCACCCCTATGCAGTTTGCGTTTGATCCGTTTCTGCAGTGCGTTTTGCAGGTTTTTTTTCAGAATTTTCTTTCAACTTGTTGCTGGGCAGAATAAAACACAAAACGCATCAAAAACACACTGCATACTTTTTTACAGCATCTCATTGAAATTTATAGAACCAAAAACGCAACGTTTTGCATTTAAAAAAAGACCCCGACTCGTTTACAAAAAACGCCCCGGGTGAAAACGCGAAGATGTGAACCTGTCCCATAGGAAATCTTGTTATGTAGACTGCTGTGTGTTTCTGGAAAACGCATAGGTTTCTTTCAGCTGTATTTAGTTATTTATTTTATTTCAGGTACTTATATAGCGCTGTCAACCTATGCAGCGCTTTACATATATATTGTACATTCACATCAGTCCCTAACCCGCAAGGGGTGTACAATCTAAGGTCCCTAACTTACATTCATACATACATACTAGGACCAATTTAGACAGGAGCCAATTAACCTACCAGCATGTCTTTGGAGTGTGGGAGGAAAGGAAACCCACGCAGGCACAGGGAGAACATGCAAACTCCAGGCAGGTGGTGCCGTGGTTGGGATTTAAACCAACGACCCTAGTACTGCCAGGCGGAAGTGCTAACCATTTAGCCACTGTGCTGTCCATATTTGATCTTCTCTGTGGTTTTTATTTTTTGCACTATAAAAAAAAAAAAAAGACTGACAAAAAAAAAAAAAATCCAATATTTTTGACTTTTTGCTATAAAACATAAAAACATATCCAATAAAAAAAATTGAAAAATAAAATTTAGGCCAAAATGTATTCTGCTCCATGTCTTTGCTAAAAAAAAAATCCCAATACGTATAAATGAATTGGTTTACATGAAACGTATAGCATCTGCAAATGGCGGTATATATACTGGAATTTTTATTTTATATACTAGTAATGGCAGCCATCAGCGAACAAAAAAAAAAAAAAATCCCAATACGTATAAATTAATTGGTTTATGTGAAAGTTATATTGTCTACAAATTGCAGTATATATACTGGATTTTTTTTCATACTAGTAATGGCAGTGATCAGCGACTTATAGCGGGACTGTGGTGGGCATTCTGACACTGGGGGGGAACTGACTAATGGCCACTGACATCCCCAGTGACACTAATACAGTGATCAGTGCTAATAAAAAGCACTGACAGTGTACTAATGGCACTGGGCAGGAAGGGGTTAACATCTGGGGCGATCAAAGGGTTAACTGTGTGTTGTGCTTACACTGTGTGCTGTTTTACTAGGTAGACATACTGCTTTGTATTTCTCTGCTGTACAGCGCGGGAGAAAGCAGCATGGCCATGCTGACAGGAGACATCTGTGTTGTTTACACACAGATGTCTCCCCTCTCAGCTTTAGCAGTGATCACTGAGTGCCGGCCGAGAACAGCAGTGCAGGCAGGGCAGCGCACACACACACCCCCCTACATGGAACTGCAAAATCACATGTATATATATATATGTGATTTTGCGCAGAGCGGACACCCAGTAGTAGTATATTTGCTATAGTTAAAAGTAAAATCAATAGTGCCCAGGGGCGGACTGACAACTCATGGGGCCCCCGGGCAATAGGGGATCATGGGGCCCCTGTGTCCTTGCCCAAACTCAAAAAAGCCTATGAAAAAGGTACCAGGGGCATCTCATGGGGCCCCCTACTGACCCCGGGCCCTCGGGCAGTGCCTGAGTTTCCAAATGGTCAGTCTGCCCCTGGTAGTGCCTTCCACCAACCATGACCCATTCAAGTGAATAGCCCTGCAACCACGTGCCATGCAGGCTTTTAGGAGCGATCGGGTGACATTTCACCTCCTCACCACATGTCAATCTACCTTTTGAAAAGCAATCCACCACAGATCATTCTTCAGAGGGCTAACACAAGTGTGAATAAGGACACACAGTAGATGTCCTTTAAACTTACCACTCGTTACAATCTGACTGAACAATCTCCTTTAGGCCCCTTTCACACGGGGTGGACACCATTCAGATCAAAAGGGGATCCATTCACACAGTCCCCACTGAGCAGAGCGAGTGGATGACAGGTCCATGTCTGCTCAGTCTATGCACAGCGGACATGGACAGAGCTTGCTCTTGTCTTATGGGCAGTCGGGTGTGAATGGACTCCGATCCACCTAGATGAGGGGGAAGACCCCCTTCCATTTCTTTTTAGCAGACCAGGTCAGATTGGAGGTAGGTGGTCCTAAACAGACACAAGTCCACTTAACACCTGCTGGTCCATAGGGATGCAAGGACCATCTGATCAGGCCTGCCTGAAAAACTGACAGGCGGACCTAAACAGACAGCCTGTGTGAAAGGGGCTTTAGATGTACCAACAATGATGTAGTACAAGGGCCTGTCTGATTGGATACATTAGGTATGACTTCATATTACATCTGAAGGGATGGACACTGCTCAGCCAACTGCAGGAGTCCAATGTTGAGTGATGGCCTCAGCCGCCATACTGGCCACGCCCTCTGATGCATTTCACCCCGCCCACTAGGATTGGTCACACAGGCTTATATTACATCGTTTTTGGTAAATCAAAAGTTGATTGCACTAAGATTGTATGGTCAGATTGTAACATGTATGGTGACCCCTATATTTATTTATTTGTCAGCAAATTGCATCATAATGTGACAACATCCACAAATGTATACAATCATTGTACAACTGATTTTATTGCCCTCCTTGAAGGTGATGAAGCAGGACGGAATTGTGATCACACATAGGTTTTGGGGAAGAGTTCCCACTGACTGATAAATAGAAAAAACCGTACTAGTCAGTATATCCACAGGGATCTGGGCAGGGAGGGCTCTCATTTATTGACACGGTGAGGGTGATGAGCAGTACTAGGTATTCTTTATAGCAGTTTGGAAGATCCTCATTTACTACCATAAGGAT